CCCGGGTTAAGACTTTGGCGGTATTCCCGATCAATTATTTTGCAAATTTATTTTTTCGAAATTTTTAAAAAATTTATCTGAGTGTGGCTCAGCATCCGCTGGACCAATCTTAAAGTGCGCCATACATTTTTTGTTCGGAACATTTTGACTATTTTTGTGGTGGTATTCCCGAGCGATTATAACGCAAATTGAATTTTTCGAAAATTTTTCATAAATTTTTTTGAGTGTAGCTCAGCATCCGCTGGACCAATCAAAGAGTGCGCCATACATTTTTTGTTTGAGACTCCCGGGTTAAGACTTTGGGGATATTCCGAAGCAATTATCTCGAAAATTTAATTTTTCAAAATTTTTTCAAAAATTTATTTGAGTGTAGCTCAGCATCCGCTGGACCAATCAAAGAGTGCGCCATACATTTTTTGTTTGAGACTCCCGGGTTAAGACTTTGGGGATATTCCGAAGCAATTATCTCGAAAATTTAATTTTTCAAAATTTTTTCAAAAATTTATTTGAGTGTAGCTCAGCATCCGCTGGACCAATCAAAAAGTGCGCCATACATTTTTTGTTTGAGACTCCCGGGTTAAGACTTTGGGGATATTCCGAAGCAATTATCTCGAAAATTTAATTTTTCAAAATTTTTTCAAAAATTTATTTGAGTGTAGCTCAGCATCCGCTGGACCAATCAAAAAGTGCGCCATACATTTTTTGTTCAGAACATTTTGACTATTTTTTTGGTGGTATAACGCAAATTTAATTTTTCTAAAATTTTTCCAAATTTGTTTTCTAGTGTAGCTCAGCATCCGCTGGACCAATCAAAAAGTGCCCCAAACATTTTATATTCAGAACTTTCTTCTAACTACTTTGGGGATATTCCGAAGCGATTATCTCGAAAATTTAATTTTTCGTAATTTTTTAAAAAATTTATCTGAGTGTAGCTCAGCATCCGCTGGACCAATCAAAAATTGCGCCATACATTTTTTGTTCGAGACTCCCGGGTTAAGATTTTGGGGATATTCCGAAGCGATTATCTCAAAAATTTAATTTATCAAAATTTTTTCAAAAATTTATTTGAGTGTAGCTCAGCATCCGCTGGACCAATCAAAAAGTGCGCCATTCATTTTTTGTTCGAGACTCCCGGGTTAAGACTTTGGCGGTATTCCCGATCAATTATCTCGCATATTTATTTTTTCGAAATTTTTAAAAAATTTATCTGAGTGTGGCTCAGCATCCGCTGGACCAATCAAAGAGTGCGCCATACATTTTTTGTTCGGAACATTTTGACTATTTTTGTGGTGGTATTCCCGAGCGATTATAACGCAAATTGAATTTTTCGAAAATTTTTCATAAATTTTTTTGAGTGTAGCTCAGCATCCGCTGGACCAATCAAAGAGTGCGCCATACATTTTTTGTTCAGAACATTTTGACTATTTTTTTGGTGGCATTCCCCAGCGATTATAACGCAAATTGAATTTTTCGAAAATTTTTCATAAATTTTTTTGAGTGTAGCTCAGCATCCGCTGGACCAATCTTAAAGTGCGCCATACATTTTATATTCAGAACTTTCTTCTAACTACTTTGGGGATATTCCGAAGCGATTATCTCGAAAATTTAATTTTTCAAAATTTTTTCAAAAATTTATTTGAGTGTAGCTCAGCATCCGCTGGACCAATCAAAAAGTGCGCCATACATTTTTTGTTTGAGACTCCCGGGTTAAGACTTTGGGGATATTCCGAAGCGATTATCTCGAAAATTTAATTTTTTAAAATTTTTTCAAAAATTTATTTGAGTGTAGCTCAGCATCCGCTGGACCAATTAAAAAGTGCGCCATACATTTTTTGTTCAGAACATTTTGACTATTTTTTTGGTGGTATTCCCGAGCGATTATAACGCAAATTGAATTTTTCGAAAATTTTTCATAAATTTTTTTGAGTGTAGCTCAGCATCCGCTGGACCAATCTTAAAGTGCGCCATACATTTTATATTCAGAACTTTCTTCTAACTACTTTGGGGATATTCCGAAGTGATTATCTCGAAAATTTAATTTTTCAAAATTTTTCATAAATTTATTTGAGTGTAGCTCAGCATCCGCTGGACCAATCAAAAAGTGCGCCATACATTTTTTGTTCAGAACATTTTGACTATTTTTTTGGTGGTATTCCCGAGCGATTATAACGCAAATTGAATTTTTCGAAAATTTTTCATAAATTTTTTTGAGTGTAGCTCAGCATCCGCTGGACCAATCTTAAAGTGCGCCATACATTTTTTGTTCGAAACTTTTTCCCTATTTTATTGGCGGTATTCCGGAGCGATTATCTCGCAAATTGAATTTTTCGAAAATTTTTCATAAATTTTTTTGAGTGTAGCTCAGCATCCGCTGGACCAATCAAAGAGTGCGCCATACATTTTATATTCAGAACTTTCTTCTAACTACTTTGGGGATATTCCGAAGCGATTATCTCGAAAATTTAATTTTTCAAAATTTTTTCAAAAATTTATTTGAGTGTAGCTCAGCATCCGCTGGACCAATCAAAAAGTGCGCCATACATTTTTTGTTCAGAACATTTTGACTATTTTTTTGGTGGTATTCCCGAGCGATTATAACGCAAATTGAATTTTTCGAAAATTTTTCATAAATTTTTTTGAGTGTAGCTCAGCATCCGCTGGACCAATCTTGAAGTGCGCCATACATTTTTTGTTCGAAACTTTTTCCCTATTTTATTGGCGGTATTCCGGAGCGATTATCTCGCAAATTGAATTTTTCGAAAATTTTTCATAAATTTTTTTGAGTGTAGCTCAGCATCCGCTGGACCAATCTTAAAGTGCGCCATACATTTTATATTCAGAACTTTCTTCTAACTACTTTGGGGATATTCCGAAGCGATTATCTCGAAAATTTAATTTTTCAAAATTTTTTCAAAAATTTATTTGAGTGTAGCTCAGCATCCGCTGGACCAATCAAAAAGTGCGCCATACATTTTTTGTTTGAGACTCCCGGGTTAAGACTTTGGGGATATTCCGAAGCGATTATCTCGAAAATTTAATTTTTCAAAATTTTTTCAAAAATTTATTTGAGTGTAGCTCAGCATCCGCTGGACCAATCAAAAAGTGCGCCATACATTTTTTGTTCAGAACATTTTGACTATTTTTTTGGTGGTATTCCCGAGCGATTATAACGCAAATTGAATTTTTCGAAAATTTTTCATAAATTTTTTTGAGTGTAGCTCAGCATCCGCTTGACCAATCTTAAAGTGCGCCATACATTTTTTGTTCGAAACTTTTTCCCTATTTTATTGGCGGTATTCCGGAGCGATTATCTCGCAAATTTAATTTTTCTTAAATTTTTTTCAAATTTGTTTTCTAGTGTAGCTCAGCATCCGCTGGACCAATCAAAAAGTGCGCCATACATTTTTTGTTTGAGACTCCCGGGTTAAACCTTTGGCGGCATTCCCGACCAATTATCTCGCAAATTTAATTTTTTAAATTTTTAAAAAAATTTATCTGTTTGTAGCTCAGCATCCGCTGGACCAATCAAAAAGTGCGCCATACATTTTTTGTTCAGAACATTCTTCTTATCTCTACAGCGGTATTCCCGAAAGATTATCTAGCGAATTTAATTTTTTGAAAATTTTTCCAAATTATTTTTTACTGTAGCTCAGCATCCGCTGGACCACTCAAAAAGTGCGCCATACATTTTTTGTTCGAGACTCCCGGGTTAAGACTTTGACGGTATTCCCGATCAATTATCTGGCAAATTTAATTTTTCGTAATTTTTTAAAAAATTTATCTGAGTGTGGCTCAGCATCCGCTGGACCAATCAAAAAGTGCGCCATACATTTTTTCTTCGCTACTTTTTGACTATTTTACGGGTGGTATTCCCCACCGATAATCTCGCAAATTTAATTTTTTGTAATTTTTTCCAAATTTGTTTTTTACTCTAGCTCACCATCCGCTGGACCAATCAAAAAGTGCGCCATACATTTTTTGTTCGAGACTCTCGGGTTAAGACTTTGGCGGTATTCCCGATCAATTATCTGACAAATTTAATTTTTCGTAATTTTTTAAAAAATTTATCTGAATGTAGCTCAGCATCCGCTGGACCAATCAAAAAGTGCGCCATACATTTTTTGTTCGAGACTCTCGGGTTAAGACTTTGGCGGTATTCCCGATCAATTATCTGACAAATTTATTTTTTCGAAATTTTTTAAAAAATTTATCTGAGTGTGGCTCAGCATCCGCTGGACCAATCAAAAAGTGCGCCATACATTTTTTGTTCGCTACTTTTTGACTATTTTACGGGCGGTATTCCGGAACGGTTATCTCGCAAATTTAATTTTTCTAAATTTTTTCTAAATTTGCTTTTACTGTAGCTCAGCATCCGCTGGACCAATCAAAAAGTGCCCCATACATTTTTTGTTTGAAACGTTTTTCTTATTTTATTGGCGGTATTCCCGAATGATTAAAAAAAATACCAAAAAAAAAAATTTATCGTCTTTTTTTCAAATTTTGTTTTTAATCGATAAAATTTTTAAATAGCAAAACTTATGGTTTTTATATAATAAAGTCGTATTTCTTACGTCAAGATAAATCTATTGGTTTATATAAAGTATAGATTTGATTTAAATTAAAAGAATTAATGAAAGTTAAAAATCAAAAATTCACATTTTAGCTGAAAAATGTTGTATTCTCAAATGCTTATATTATTATATTATTTATATATGTTTATTTAAATGTTAATGCTTTTTCCACGAGGAAGTAGAGTTTTCTGCTGATCGTAAAGAGGAAGCAAAATATTCATGTAATGAACATATGAATTTTTAACTTGTTTGAATTGTGTTCTTTCTAATTAATTAATTTGTTAGCTAATTTTTTCAACGTTTAACAGTTAATTAATAAAATTTTTGCAAATATTGAAAATAATTATTTGTCATCATCGGTTATTATTTTTATTATTATTTAAATTGCGATTTATAAATAGAAGTTCTAAAGAGAGAATTTTTTTTCAGTCCTCCAACATTCAAGACTGCAACACCCACATCTCGCACACAATTGAAGCTGCAGTTGATGCGAGAGCAACTGCAGGAACAAGAGAGACGAGAAGCTGAAATAAGGCAAAATTTACAACAACAAAGGCCTGCAGCTGCACCTCCAAGACCTGTACCACCAACACCTTTACCAACTATTGGTGTCGATGTTCCACCTCAAGTTTTACAAGTTAGTATATAATATTTTTTTTCCATATATTTATTTTTAGCCTTCTTTTTATAATTTATATTTTTATCTTTCTCATGTTTACTTAAAAATCAAGAAAAAAATCTCTGTTTGAGAGAGACAAACATTTTTCTCATATCATTTATGTTAATGGAATGAAGAATTTTCATCTCTTAATTTTTCTTTTACACACCACTCACATAAAAAAAATAATTCATTTTTATATATAAAACTGTGATTGTGTATATATATATGCATTTTGTTGCGTACTCGTTCGAATAATTAAAAACAATTAGAATTTTTATTGCGAATTCATTTGTTTCCGGAGTTTTATTTTTATTTCACTTTACTTTGGGATAAATTTCGTTTTAAATTGGTAGTGTTTTTTTTATATTTATTCCTTTTTTTTATTTAAAAGAAACTACTAGTTTTTTTTTTTTTTTGCAATGTTGACTTTTTTTACTGTCCATATTCATTGAATAATAATATATTAAATTATTCTTCATATTCGAATTTAATTATTTGTTTTATAAGGGCAGAAAAATAATAAAAAGATTGATTAGTATTTTTTTGTATTTAATAATTATTTTTACAAATTACAAAAGGAAAAATATTTTTGTATAATAAAATTTGAGAACGGAAATTTTTTTTAAGCTTGATTTTATCCAAATTCGTATATATAGAAGTTTAATTATTGGAATGATTTTATGAAAATGAAGAGTTATTTTTTTCCTCTTTGTGTTGCAATTATCGAGAGGAATGACGATAGAATTGAAATAAATTTTTATTGTGACATTTCTCTTTTTATATATATATAAAGCCGAATTGAATTGTTGGTCGCGAAAAACTCGTGATTGGAAAACCAGAAGCGCAGTATTAATGTGTACGTGCAGGTCTCGAATTTTCTCAAAATTTCACCTTTCGAAGTTATACACAATACGTGTGTCGAGTACAACATGCCAAATTAACCCTTTTAATAATATATTGATACTACTCTCGTTAATGAAAAAATTCCTTTTGTTTTTAAAACAACAACAACAACAACTTTGATTCTGATTTATAAATGAGTAACTGCAATTTTACAAATGAATCGAAAATTGTAATTTTTTCATTGCATTAATACACAATAATTTATTTATTTTGATTTAATTACAACAAATGTGAATTAAAAAAAAGAAATTTTATTTTTTAAATCAATTCGTTAAGAATTAAATTCAGTTATTATTATACTTAATATTTGTTTTGAATCTACGAATTTAAATAGGAGAATTTAATCAATTTTATTAAAATAATTTTTTTTTTTAATTCAAATTTCCAATTTTTTGTCGAATATAGTGAAAAAAGAGAGTAATATATTTGCATAAAGAATATAATGAAACAAAAGATATATATATATATATATATATTCGTTGTGATTCTACCTTCTACACAAAAGCTCGTCTAATGTACTTACCTGAAAATTTAAACATGTCTGTTTTGCAGGAAAGATAAAGCCCTCCATTGTTCCAATTTCTCACAAAAGAAGATAATTATCCAGGTCGATAAATAAAACTATCTAATTAGTTTATTTATTATTTTTTTTTTAATAGAAGCTTACGCATATGTACAAAAAAAATAATTATTTTTTCATAGTAGAAAACAAAAAAAAAAAAAAATATATATATATATATCTCCTTATCTTTGGAGCCATAGAATCATTTGATCTAGATTGTCTGCAATTCGTTTATCGTTCTTCTTCTGAAAACTTGTTTTTATCGTTTCTTTTAAATTGAAGTTTTACGAGATGCCTTATTCCAAAGGTTTAGATTTCTGAAATCGAAAATGTGTTATTGAACTCATAAAGATCGCAAGGCCCTACACCACTCTAATAATTGTGTTACTGATTCTCAGCATCCCATAAAAGAATTCGTTTCCAAGTCGTATTTCATATTAAACCCCTCGGTGGAAGATGAAGCCCATTATTGGAAGTTGAAACAACTCATAAAATGAGGTAGAAAACATTGTCATTTTTCCTTTATGGATTGTTGTGTATTTTCTCAATTTTCTCCAAGATTCTTCTTCCTATGATTCTTGACAATAATTTATATATATATATATATGTCATGACCTTTTATCTTGGCACTTAAAGGATATTCTTATTTTTTTTTTCCTTTTCTTCGATTACGAGTCATGCAATAAGAAAATAAAAATGAATTTTGTTTTTTTAAATAAAATCTTGATTATATTGTCATTAAAGATTTTCTTTTTCTAATTCTGTATTTTTATTCAATTGAAGAATTTTTGTTTTAATTACTTTCTTTCTTTATTTACTTATTTATTTATCTTAATTTTGTACCAAATTAATAAATGTAAATATTTAATATGTTAATTAGGTGAGGACATTGTTGGAGAATCCAACGCGTTATCATGTGGTGCAAAAACAAAAGAATCAAGTACGACAATATTTACATGAATCGTTTCGTGGATCGGATGATGATTTAACAACGGGAATTCCCAACAGTATTGGTAGTGATGGAGGTGGTGGAACCCCCCTTGATACTGGACCCCCACAAATGCCCATGGTGGTTCAGAGTGCACCCCCTGGACCAGCTGTTCATCAACCGAAACCGCAGCATCCTCATTTCACCTCATATCCTCATGCTCCTGCGTTGCTGCCTCAAACACATGCTGTTACTCAAAGTCCTGATCCTACCGCAGGTGCCATGTCCCCTGATCTCTCAAGTGTTGCCACCAGCAATTCTGAGGTAAGTCATTATCTTCAATTTATATTATTAATATTTAATTTCTATCATTTTTTTTAATATTCTCATACTTATGATTTATTTAAATCATAAGTTGATATTTTTAAACTGTATTTTTGTTTTAATTTATTGCAATTTTTTTTTTATTAATGTAATTAATATTAATGTGTCATCTTGGTTTTTGATGATTAATTTTTTCACTCGATTTGTTTATTATTTAAAGAAAAAATCCCCTGACGAAAATTTTGGGAAACTTTAATGATTACAATTAGATAGAAAAAAATTTGAAATAATTTTTACCTTTAAAAAATTCTTACCATTTTTTTTTATTGTTAAATAATTCTCTTCTCTTAAAAAAATTAATTAGTAAAAAAAAATATTTTAATATATTTATAAACTTATTAGATATTTTTAGAAAAAGTTTATAATATTATAATAAATTCAAATTTTATATAAAGTTTACTAATAAATTAACAATTTAAATTGAAGCATTACCATTTGGTATACAAAAATGAGCTCAGAACGTATAAATTATACTTGAAACACATGCGTCAGCATTATTTGTCATTGAATTAATAATTCAAAATAACGGTCGCTTTTTTGTTGTACAAAAAAAAATTGATTAGATTTAATTAATTTACACCGACATTTCAATTACAATGGTAATAATTTAAGATATCTGTTTGTTTATTCTTTAAGGGGATATAAATTTTATTTTACTTTTTATAAATCAAGAAAAATTAGTTATTATTACACTGAAAAAAAAAATTTATTTGATTCAAATAATTGGTTACTTTATTATCAAAATAAATATTTACTTGAACCAAATAATTTTTATTCGAATTAATTAAATTATATTTGTTTCAAATAAAGAAATTATTGGTTCCAATATAGTGCAATTATTTGGTTTTAAAAATTATTTGCTAAATATATTTTTCATAATATTTAAGTAATCGAGTATTTGAATGAAATAAATTTTTTCCCCAGTGTATTAAGTTTGAAATTACAGGACGATAAGAAATTAAAAAAAGATAAAGAAGGAAATAAACTTTTTTAACTCTTATTTCTTCTTTCTCTTCATTTTTTTTTAACTTATTCTTTGTAATTTCTTTATCATTGTATTCATAATAATAATAATAATATAATATTAATGACTGAAAAAAATTCTCATTGATATAATTATTTTTATTGACAAATAGCGATAAATTATTTTGAAAAAAAAATAAGGTGATTGTGACAATTTTAGTTCGTGCAACCAGACAAATATTTACACACGTTTGTTCGTGAAAAAATTTGAATTTCATTTTTTTTTGTGTCATGACAAAAATTATCTTCTTTCTTCATTTATTTTCGCGCATTGAGATTTTTGTTGTTGAAAAAATGGTCTTCAAATGACGTTATAGTTTAAGTCAAACAATCCCAATAATTGCTCGTATAGTGATGATTGATCTTTCGAATTTACACCCAAAGAATGTTTACCTTAATTTGAGTGATTATGGCAGTCTTCACTGTAGCGTTAATCCCGTGTATATAACTGGGTTTGAGAGAGAACACCTTGGTTGAATTCATGTTAACGCTCTGTTACACAATTCAAACTACGTGAAGCGAAAGATGTTTGCATCTGTAAACAAAACGAACCAGTTTTCGCTTTTTCAAAACTTTTCTTTTTTAACCCAAGGATCTCAAGTTTCTTTTTTTTTTTTCGCTGAATTTAGAACAGTAATTAGAGTTTTAGACATTTTAATCTCTTTCTTTCTTTCTCTCTCTCTCTCTCTCTCTCTCTCTCTCTCTCTCTCTCTATCTTCTTTTTCCTAACAATAATAATGAGGGGGAAAAAAATAATTGTAAATTTAAAAATATATTCGCACAACTGAAACAATTGTTGAAAAAAAAACAAAAATCCTTGTCTGCAAATGAAAGAAAGAGTTTATTCCAAGAAATAAATATCTCAATTTTTTAACGTCCAGCTTAGTAGCAAAGTTTTCATCCATACAAAGAGACGACTCTTCTCTCATTCTTCGTATTGCACTTTATTTCTGTTGTTCATTAGTGTTTCCGGAATTAAAGTTGCAGTTTCGTAAATTGAAAATAAGAAATAAAGGTCTCGACTGATCTTCTTATCTTGCTTTCTTTTTGTGTACGATTCTTACATATATATATATATCTTTTTTTATTTGTCGGAAAAAAGATTAACATTTTTATTTTCTTGATCAAAATGTTTTAAATTACAACTTAAAAAAAAATAATCTCATTGTTATAATAATGAGAATTAATTAGGAAATACAGAAGTTCTGACGTATATAAACTTTTTTTTTTTTTATAAGAACAAAATGACATTTATATATAGTGGCAGTTGTTCTCTCAACATTGTTAATATATGCATGGTGGTGTCTTCATGCAGATGCTTCATTTACACATTGAAGTTTGTTGATCTATTGGTTCGGAATAATTTCAATTTGACGCCTTGAATTTCAAAATTCAACGAAGCGTATCACATCTAAGTTCAGAAACTCTCAATTAGGCTCTCGAATGCTTTTCTGAGATAGGGGTCTTATGTTTCCTTAATAGAACCTTTGCAGCTTGACAATTTAAACTTAGAAATAACCCGTTTCTATTTCATTTCATTTATCGTAAATGTTTCAATTTACATTGATATATATATTAAACGAATTAACGACACAAAAAAATTGTTAGTAAATTTTCTAAAAAATGTGTGTGTCTATATTTAGAAAATATGATTCACTTAGTAATGATGAAATATGAGTTTTCCTTTTTATCATTCAATTTTTTTCAAGAAGCCTTCTTTTAATAATAGAATATTTTGATAATAGAATGTAAAATAAATTTAATAATTTTTTTTTAGTATGTGAGGACTTTGAAATTTTACGTTAGGAATAAATACGACAGACTCTCTTTTAATGATAGTCTACCGTGACATTAAAGACACTAATTAAAAGTTAACTAGCCTGCGTGTATCAATTGAAAAATGACGCGTGCGACATAATATTAAACGCACTCATTTTTCATGATGAGAGCATATAATAATAATAATAATAATAATAATAATAATCGAATGACGATGAAAATCAAAAAGATGCAAAATTTTCAATTGTTTTTTCTCCTCAACTCTCGTTTATTATTTTATAAAAGCATTTTTGTCATCATCTTAAAAAAAAAATTTTTCTTTTATGAACTATTTTTTTATTATTTGAGGGTTTGCAAAGTGCTTGTTAAATTTTTCAGGTCTCAGAGTTTTGCGCTAATTATCAGTATGAGCCCAAGGTGGTAATCCTACTTAAGCTATATAGTATACTTAAATGAATCATTTAGAGCAAAGACTTTTAACGATGACTGAATGGAATTTTATTTTTTATTCTATATATATGCAACGTTAGAATGGAATTTTTTTTATTTATTATATTGCTAGACAAAATAAATATAGAATGTGTGTGTATTTATTTCAAAATATATATAATTACTTTCTCTTGGAAATTGACATGAGGAATTTGTAAATTTTTACGATTTTATTTCATCTTTTAGTGCTCTCTAAATCTGAATTAGTTAAAAATAATTACATAATAAATCTAAATTAGTTACTTTTGATTAATTTAAATGCGCCAATTCGTTCATTAAATGAATTAGTAATCGTTTTGACTAATTTTTAGTCAAAAATTTCTAATTGTTGGTAGAAAACTACTAAATCATTTAGTAATCTTACTTTTCAGTTAGAAATAATTTAATAAATAAATTAATAGTTATCTGCTATCAATTAGTAGCTTTCTACTATCAATTAGTAATTTTCTACTATTAATTGGTCAGTTGTTTACTAAAAATTTATAAAAATAGTAACTTAATTTATTCAAAGAACAAATAGGCGCAGTTAAATTAATTTCTAAATATGAATCAGTAAAATATTTAGCTAATTTGAACTAGTGACTCACTTTCCGCTTTTGGAATTAGTAAAATTCAACTAATAAATATTTTAGAAAAAAAATTACAATCGAATTAGTACATTTAGCTAATTCAAAAGCAAAAACTTAGTCACTAATCAAATTAGTTGATATTTACCAATTTTTTTTAAAGAGTAATTGTTAGTAAAATTTTGATTGATTTTTTGCTTCAACAATCAGTAAAAAAAGTAATTAATTATAAAAAGTGACTGATGGTAAAAATTTTTGAAAAATAAAAACATAAAAAATTTACCGATCTTAAAAGCTACCTCACCGACTGATGGTAAATTTTTTAAAAAATAAAAATTACCGATACAGAAATCTACTTTACCGACTGATGGTAAAACTGAAAAAATATATTGTCATTTAAAAAAAATTACCATCAGTCGGTAAGGTAGATTTCCGTGTCAGTAATGTTTTATATTTTCATTTTTCAAAATTTTTTACCATCTTGTTAATTTTTTTTAACCATCTGCATAGTTACTATTATATTATTATTTTAATCAGTAACTCACTTTTTGCTATCAAGTTAGTAATTTTAAACTAATTACAATTTAGAGAGTGTATAATATTGTTTTTTTAATATAATTGTTGCTCTTGCTTATTTTTAATTTGCAAATATTTAAACTTAATATCAAAGAATAAAAAAAAACTGTTTTCAAATTGTTAAATTAAATTATAAATTGTTTGATACAGAAATCGTATTTACAAAAAAAAGTGGTAGATACATAGTTTTTTTTCACAAAAGACGTTATGTTAGTTGATAATTTTTCTCGCTCAAAAATACCGTATCCACAAAAATTTGAATTAAATTTTCTATTAAAATTTGTTCAATATTGATTGAATGAAATGTATGCAGCAGTATGTATATCCATATATAATAGGAAATATGATAAGAAAATATTGAATGGCTTGTAAAATATTGTCGCGCGAGAAAGAGAATGCCATACCACCTCGACTAAAATTGCATTGTGATAATATCTGTTCCATTTTGTCGAGAAAACCCGTTTCATGTTCTGCATAGTTATCATAAAACGCGTCCTTTTACGAAGA